GGCGAGGCCTGGCGCCGTGGGATGCGCTGCCTGCCGCTTGCGCTGATGGGGCTGCTCTGCGCCAGGGCCATGGCCTGGACGTCGAGCGGGAAGACGCACCCCGAGCTCGTCAGCAACCTCTACAGTGAGTACGGCATGGGGTCCGTTGGCACCTTGGTGTGAGGGTATTCCGTAGAGTCACGGAGCGTTTGGGTGGGGAGGGACCTTCAGAGGCCACCGAGTCCAGCCCCCCACAGTGAGCAGGGCTGTTTTCAACTGGATCAGGTTGCTCAGAGCCCCGTCCAGCCTGGCCCTGAATGTTTCCAGGGACGGGGTATCAACTACCTCTCTCGGCAACCTGTGCCAGTGCCTCACCACCCTCATTGCAGAACATTTCTTCCTTATATCCAGTCTAAATCTCCCCTCTTTTAGTTTAAAACTATTACCCCTTGTCCTCTTGCAACAGGCTCTGCTAAAAAGCCCATCCCTGTCTTTCCTACAGGCCCCCTTTAAGTACTGAAAGGCCTAAAGAAGGTCTCCCCGGAGCCTTCTCTTCTCCAGGCTGAACAGCCCCAGCTCTCCCAGCCGTCCTCACAGCAGAGGTGCTCCAGCCCTCAGATCATTGCTGTGGCCTCCTCTTGCCCCGCTCCAACAGCTCCGTGTCTTTCCTGTGCTGTTGTGCAGCAATAGGCTGTGATGCTGTTCATCAGAGTTAATATCGCCTGAATTTCGGTGTTTGTCCCTGTCTGAACTTCTTCTGTTTATAATTGGAAACAAGCTGTTATGCCAGAAGCGGCAGGAAAGACTATCCACGGCCTGCTTTCCCCTCTGGAGTGGTAGATGCGTGACGCCTTTTAAAGCCGTGGCATTGCTCTGAGCCTGTCGATGCCGAGCTCCTTGGCAGCCGGTGCTTCCCCTCCAGTGAGACGCCCTGGGAGCGGAGCAGCGCTTGGTGCTATCGCTCCGCTCTGGGCAGCGGGCTGGGACGCCTGTAAATATAGCTGTGAATTTCCCCTGCTGCTAAAGCTGGTTTTTCCCCCTCTAAGAGTCTCCTCGGAGATGAGGTGTGAAGGGATGCTGAATGTTTCTGCAGTCAGCGCTCTTAACTTTAGTTTACTCACCATGCCAGCGCTCCTGGAACCTGAAACGGAGTCTCCGCTTTCAGGAGTGAAAATGTGACTCTATTTATCTTTCATTGCGTCTGGCAGTCCCAGAAACTTTGTGGGTGGAAGTCGCCATCCTCTGAGAGAGACTGGGCCGATGGTTGGGACCGTAACGGGATTTCATGCAGTGTCCTTTCTGTCTCTGTTCTCCTTCCTCTCCCAGAAAAAGGGATAATTAAATCCCAGCGAGTCTATGATGTGCTGTTGGCTACTGACAGAGGTCACTACATCAAGTACTTCCCATACATGGATTCTCCTCAATCTATCGGTGAGTAATTAGGGCAAAGTATCACTGCTTTCACAGTGTGCGCGTTGACATCCCTCGTTGCGCTGACAGAGGGGCATGAGACAGCTCGGCCGGTCCGAGTTCTCCGTGCTAGGTGCTCTCTCCCCAGAACAGCGGCTGAGTCTCACGACAGGCCAAGCAGAGCAAACCCCACCCGTTTATCATCTGTGAGACCTAGAGGAAAGAACAATACAGCTTTTCTGGGTTCAAAACGTTCATTGATTGCTCCGAGTCCCGCTGAGGGAGCGGGAGCGAGCGCAGGCTGCGAGAGCCGCAGGGCGTTTTGGTGAACGAGCTGGGGGCTGGAGCGCTTGGGAGCTGCAGCGCTGCGCAGGCAGTAGTCCCACACGAGGAGAGACGAAGGCAGGGAAGTGCTTTAATGTGGCAAAAGAGAAGAGTGTTTTCATGTTTTTAGGGGAAGGCGGGGGAGAATAAAGAACTGTTCACATTGGTAATTTTAACTGTAATTTCTTTATCACATAACTTCTGTCACTCGTTTCCTTTTAGGATACAAGGCTACAATCAGTGCACCGCATATGGTAAGATGACACTTTTCACTTTTAACAGAAATGGAGGAAATTGTTTGCTTGCCTTTGTTTTTTTCCCCCTTTTTCTTAAATACTAAAGTAGAAAGGTGAAACAGATCCCACGGGCATGATTATCATGCTTGTTTCTTTAGGCACTGTATAGGTGAAGCTTTATTCCTCTTAAGAAGAGTTTGCCCTATACTCCTGAAGTTGCTTTCACAGTATGCTTAGACAGGAGTTCTGTGCAGCTGAGGCTGACCATGAGTGTTGCCCATTTTTTGTACGAGGCCTTTTGTCCTGCTGCTTCACATCTGATTTCTGAACCTCTTCCTAAATGCTGTTCTGGAAAAAGATGTTCCAGATTAAATGCTTGAATTTCACTCTGAATGTGCCAGGTGTGCTGTGCTTAAATCCGAGCAGATAATGCTTAGAACAAGAAAAAGTTCTTGGAGAGGAAACTGGAATGGAAGTTTCACACCTTGTACTTGTTGTCCACACAGCATGCCCACGCACTGGAGCTGCTGAAGGATCAGCTGGTGGAAGGCGCGAAAGCGCTGGATGTTGGCTCTGGCAGCGGATATCTTACAGCTTGCTTTGCCAGGATGGTAAGCTCGCGGGGCTCCAGCTCCAGCTAGCAAGGGCCGTCGGGGTGGGTAGCTTGCCGTACCTGGCGTGTGCTTTTTGCAGGGGGAGGAGGAGGAGGTGGGAGGAAGGGGTAAACTCTTCCCAGACCAGCCTGTAGTAAAACCACATAGAGTCATTTTTGGAATCTAAACGGATGCTGTATCTGCTGTGAGATGTTTTGTATGTTAGCCCAGTTCAGGTCGAAAGGAGTGTGTTAATCTACTGTGCAAGTTCACTGTAGGTTCTTTTTCGTTTGCTTCTTAAGTTGTCACAGTCTGTTTCTTTGTTTTGTAAACTCCTGAAATGATTTTCTGTGGCGTGCTAGAAAGCTGGTGAAGTGCCACTTCTCAGGAGGTTGGTTAGTCGAGGCCGGCCCTGCCATGGAAGCTGCTAATTCTACCACATAATGGTTTCTTTGGAAATGAAGGATTACTAGGAATCCCTGAAGACAGTATCTGTGTATCCCTCAAGCAGCTGATACAACGGGGACTACTCAGCCTTTAAACCCAGGGGAGAGAGTATTTGCACCTTCTTTCAGAAACTTTCCTGGAAATTCTCCAGTCCCCATGGTAACTTGCCCTGTAAAATACCTCTCTGGACCGTGCAGGAGGTGTTAGGCGTTTGTCTGCTGTTTGCTTTTCAGATGGGCCCAACAGGGAGAGCCGTGGGCGTAGAGCACATCAGAGAGCTGGTGCACGAATCCATCAGAAACGTCCAAGAAGATGACCCGACTCTGCTCAGCTCTGGCCGCGTGAAGCTTGTGGGTGAGCTCGCGGGGATCCTGATCCTCGGTCTCTCCTGCGGATGTGCGTTAGCTCTGGCTGCCTGCAGAGCCCTGCTCCTCGCAGCACTTGTTCCAGTTTGTGCTGATGCTGGCCGCGGGGTTGCCAGAGACCGCTGGCACCGCGCCACGCTGACCCGAGCACTGCGGTGTAAACAAGCAGCATTTAATGTTACGGGCAGGTGTATCACACACCTTAGCTCCAAGCGTGTAGTGGCTGTTTTTTTTTACGTTGTTCGGGGTAGCGGCTGCACCACACCGGGGTTTCAGGTTGTTTCAGCGGGTGTGCACACGCTTGGGGTTTTTGGGAGGACGCTTTGAGCCAGCTCCTCCCGTGTCTGAGATCTCAAGCCTGCACAAGGCTGCTGTGTTACGGAAAGGCCCTCCTGGCTTTGACTGTTCCTTCCTCTAGCGTGGTTCAGTTCCAGAAATCTCTCCCCCTTTGTGAAAAGTAGAACCAACCAGCGCTACGTTTCGAGCAGACGGGTCAGTGCTCTGATTTGGAAATCTAAGTTGCCGTCACAATCTTGTCACGAAGTTTTCGTCATCTAGATTTCAACTGAGAGGATATGGGAGGAATTAGTTTTGCGGGGAGTTGCGATCTGAACACAAGTCTTTCCTGCTTGCTTTTTGCTGCTGCAGTCGGAGACGGCAGGCAGGGATACCCCGACGAGGCTCCTTACGATGCCATTCACGTTGGAGCGGCAGCAGCGACCGTGCCGACGGAGGTAAGCGCGGTCGTGCCGGGCGTCTTGCTGTGGGTGCCTGCGTCGGTCGCTGTGCAGAGGCTTAGGTAACAGCCAGAAGCTGCTTTTTCTGTCTGTTCCGTACGAAGCTGGCACGCCTGTGCTTCTCAAGGTGTCGTGGCCTTCACAGCGTGGCTTCTCTCTGCGGTCTCCTCTTTTGGCTCTGCTGACTCTGGTTTCTCCGCTCGCCAGCTGCTGAAGGAACTGAAGCCAGGAGGCCGGTTAATTCTGCCCGTTGGTCCCGAGGGAGCAAACCAAGTTCTGATGCAGTACGACAAAACCAGCGACGGGCAGATCGTCGAAACGCAGCTGATGGGCGTCATCTACGTTCCTCTGACAGACAAGGAAAAGCAGTGGCCCCGGTAAAAACCTCGCTCTCCCTCCAGGAACGCTTCCTCCTCCCGGCTGCCCCGTGAGCTTGCTCTCCTTGACTGCTGGCTTTACTGACCAAGTCCGGGGTTCCTGGCAGACGCTGTTTGCTTAAAAAACAGAAAGAGAAGAGAGAGGCTTGGCTGTGGTGGGAGCAGGATGCGCTTTCTGGGAGACAGCGCTTGCAGACCGAGGACTCGAGCTTTTCTGCTTTCGTTTTTTGGAGCCCGTGCGCTTCCATGAGCCCC